TATATAAAGTATATCTTATCTTATAATGTATACAGTATACTCTGTAGCCTATATTCACAATATACAGTTATTCTCATCAAAATGCTTTAGTCCAGGCCTTGAAATTAAGCTTTATTTAATATTTCTCGATACAATTAACAAGAGTTTGGGAATAAAGTGGCACTAACTGTGTGGAAAAAAACTAAGAAAATCCACTCTCTGCCCAAATAGTCAAATAATAACTCACACAAAGAACATGCATTGTTAGTGCATGGGAAACATTTTGGTATCCGAGCTTTAAATTCAGGAGTTTTGGATGAGGGACACGGGAGGTCCTGAACGCGAGTCCATGGTTCTGTCCGGTCCGCATGTCTGTGGTTCTGTCCACTCGACTACGGTCTGCGCTCGGTACCCAGTTCAGAAGTGCGTTCGCGAGAGCTGTTGTACAAAAATCGTACATTTCATAGTTAAACCACTACAACGCGGCCACAGCTGCCCCGGGGCAGAGCGGAGGATGTTAATCCTGTTCAGAAACGGCATAATTCATTTTCAAAAACGTCTCTATCACTTTCACTTCTCACTCGCCACAAAGCTCTTGTCTCGGTCCCTCACACATTTGTTGGTCGCATCCAATTTTACCTTTCTCGCCACAATGCTGACCTGTTACAGCCAGTGGTCGCATCCAATTTTTCAGTTTCAAAGTACTTAGCTATCTGCTGCCATCTACTGATTTGAAAAAGTATTACATGGTTACTCACAGTTCAAAACAAGTCACCGCTCGTCAACAGCGAATCCAGCTATTTTTAGACAAAGTAGACGAATTTCTCACGGCACACCAGACAATATCATACGGCACACTAGTGTGCCGCGGCACAGTGGTTGAAAAACACTGAACTAAACACTGCAGAAAAAAACGTTTCTAGAGAGGGACAAGAAACATCTTTTTATGAACACATTTTATGGAATTAATATTTCCTACACATTCAATTACAACCAAAATTATAAAATATAGTTATATACCTGATTGATTTGAGCCACGTTGTTAATGTTGTTGCCCTCTGCCATGTATAGTTTTGCAGCAATGAAGTTGATCAACTCTGCGCAGACACGATTGTTAATGTCTGTGAGCAGTGACGTAATGGGCTCTATGCACGCCCCACTTCCGCGTTTTAGCTACTACCCCACTTCACTTCTTGTTCGCGGGAAACGGCTTGAGTTTCACTGGAGTTCAGCAGTGGTTTGCACGAGTTTCCCAAATAATGCTCAAACAGGAATTAAACTGTGAGGATACTGGGCATTTTTGGGACACAACAGTGCTCTTTGATTGTGCTGTCATTGTGTTTTTATAAAGTTTACAAATCGCTCTGAGTGGCCACAGTCAAAGCTCTACCTCAGAGAGAAAGCACAGCGACACTTTTGGGTCAGTCTCACAGCTGAATGTATCAATCTAATTACTAAAAAACGTCACTAAAACCCACCTAAAAGCCATAGGATAGCAGAGGCAGGAAGTGAACGGGCTGTGCTTTGTTAACCGGAAATGACGTCACACCTTCCCGTCTGACTGCTGAAATTCGTATAGATAGTTTTCCACTGACGTCACGCACTACCCACATTTCCGCAGTTCGCCATTTTAGGAGTCTAGATCACTTTAACATGCCGGATTGACTGCATCGTTTGGGGGTGCAGTAACCGCGTAGATTGTGGGGACATTCCAAAGGTTATTACGAGCTAGGGGTGCGACTCGGGACGGAGAAATGGATTCTTTAGTTGGCGAGGATCAACCAGAGGGATTCAACCCCAACCCCTGAAAAACTGCACTAAATCTGTGCATACGTGGTTTATATTCATAGCTGCCATTTGACTGTGATACTAAGTCTATAGGCGCCTCTAGCATCCCATCTAAATGAATGAGAGGGGGAGGAGGAGGAGGGGGGGAAAGGGTAGTGATTTGCGGCTTGTGATATCAACTTTTTCGTTCAAAATAAAATATCTATTGAAAGAAATATTGCATCATACATCATGACGTTTTTTAAATTGTAAAACCGTTAAGTGAAAGTAAGCCATTTCTGGGAAGTCCACTGGTCTCGTCACCTTTCATATGGATCCAAATCTCCCGATTCTCAAAGAATCTTGCCTCACAGATTACTCCAGTGTATCAATATACTTAACGCGGTCAGTGTCGGCCGAATTCTTGGCTTTAGATGACATGGGTACAGATGATCCGTGACAAATTATCAGTGATAAATGATACGTGCAATATAAGCTTGACTCCTAAAATTCCGTTCGCTCAAAGCATCATGGGTAATAAGCACGTGATGGAAAACCATGTATACATAGTTCCTACATGACGTCACTACATACGGGGATTTGCCGACCCGGCGCCATTTGTGTTGGCATTCTGTGGGCAAAACAATAGAAAAAGAAGCTGAAACGTGTTAATGTCGTGATAAAGTTGAAAATGGTCATCTCCTGCTGGGTCAATGGATGTTCAAATCGTGCCGGAGGTTCCGTTAAACTTGGATTTTACAGTATACCCATCATTAGACTTCATGAATGTGAGAAGACTAAGCTTTTGTCAGAACAACCACTGAGGTTATGGCTTGCGAAGATAAACAGGCAAGAAACTCCCTCAAAACACGCAAGAATATGCTCGGAGCACTTTGTGTCAGGTGCGTATCGTATCTTATAATGTGTTGACAGACGTAATTTACTCAGTACTAACTTGTGTATGCTGATATCTGGTAACTTGAGAGTTTCATTATTTAGATTACTTTATTATGAGGAGGATCGGTGTCGCGTCCGAGGCTCTCGAGGGCAACGTAAATGTATTAAATAGATAATAATAGTTCTATGGTGGGCTAAAACAATGTTCACAAACAGCATTGCTTCTGTAAAAAGATCTGTGTCATAAAATAAACTGCTCTTTACGCCTGGAAAAATCAGTTGCCCACCATTCACCAAAACATACGGTCAAAAACGCGGAAATAAACAATAACAGCAATCCAGAGTGTCCGTGTGGCATTAGCATTAATTAAATTAATTGTTAATATAATTAAAATAATTAAATGGAGCTCCAACTGGTATTAAATCTAAAGTTTTTGAGAAATGTTTGCATTGCTTGTTAATTTTTGCTGCATAATTTGATCAAATATGTAAAACATGTCCGTAGCACGTTAAACTGTGGTGCCATTGTATTAATATACAATTATTTGCTCAAAAGTTGCCCTTTTTTCCAATTTGCGTTTGAATATCTACATTTATTCTAGGGCTGGGCGATTAATCGATTTTAATCATTAATTCGAGTTTTACGTTTAGGGCGATTTCTTTTTTTAAAAATTTGATTTTTATTTTTTCCAGCGCAGAACTACAGCGCTAACGCGCTAACCGCGGGTCTATGGTGTTGAGCAGTCATTTTGAAGCTAACCTAATGCTAACAGTCTCCCTCTGGCCTGATGCTCGCTCTCACAGTTGGTGCTGTTGCAATAACACTTCAAACGTTCAAGAATCAGACTTTATTTAAATCGCCAGAACACACACACACACGCACGCAGGCTCCGGTCGCTATGTTTGTACGCCATGTTCGTACGCCACATCTTTCACGCTCTCTCACGCTCGTTATTCCAAAGCGCACTACCGTGTCCGTGGCGCGCACACACTCGTGTCCCACTGAGCCGCTGCACTTTGGGGAAAGACACGTCTCACACATTGCTCTCATTGCTCTGATACAAACAACGTGTTCCCCGCTGTCTGTTAGCTACAGTAGCTGCTACAGTAGCTGTTAGCTACAGTAGCTGCTACAGTAGCTGTTAGCTACAGTAGCTGCTACAGTAGCTGTTAGCTACAGTAGCTGCTACAGTAGCTGTTAGCTACAGCATCAGAATGTAAACAGGAAGCTCGCACAATGCGGGAGTCACTGAAGTTAGTATTAGCGCCACCAGCTGGACCGAGCGTTGTACTACAGCACAGTTACTCAGGCACAGTTGAAAGAACAAGCATGAAAACCCGAGGAGGCTTTTGGAAAAGACTGTCTGTTACAACATTTCTATTTTGAGTAATCAGTTTTAAAAATGTGATATTTCATGTAAATAATGCATGTGTTTAATAGGATTGATATATTTGCGATGGACCTTGTTTGTGTGATTTAAGTTATTTTGAAGGTGCATAGTGTCATTGTAAGTGAAGTTATTATAAAACTGTTAAGCTACATTTTCACTGTTTACAATGGCAGAGCCATCTTGTTTACAAGCATGTTTTAAGGCTTAATTCCTGTTACACTTATGCTCCATGGGGATTTAGATTAAACTGCATAAAGGAAAATCTATTTCTTTGTCAGTTGTAGTTTGTTTTTAAATAGAAAAAAATAAATCGATTAAAATCGAAAATCGGATTTGGTGTGAAAAAATCGGAGATTTTTTTTTTTTGCCATATCGCCCAGCCCTAATTTATTCTCATTCTTCTGTTTAATGGAATGCACAAACACAGCAGCGTGCCATCAAAGATGGCGTCTCCGAGGAGGTCATGTGACATTCATTGGTCTGTGGGAACTATGTATTCTCAAAGAAGAAAATGCAAGCACATAAAAAATCGTATTCACGAGTACGAAATCACAGTTTTATAGTTTTTATTCTTAATTACGAAATTCCATGTCTTTTGAGTTTGTAATGTATTATCTTAATCATGAATTAATAAAACCTTTTTATGCACAAATACCGATAAATATGCACGCATTGTTTTTAGACATGCACATCTTTATTGACAATAACCTTACCCCATATCCAACCAACTTCACCACGGTTTACCCTTGGAACGCCACTGGTAGCACTGCATGCAGGAAACAGGTAAATTGAGCCTTCTTAAAGATGTAACCACTCCATCGTGAGCCTGACAAATTTAGTTATATGTTTGGTACTACATAATATAATAGATCAACACAGCGCCAACAGCCAGAAGCTTAGAATGTAAGCATTCGCCCTCTCCCGTTAGCATACGGGCCGGTGCGAGTGTGAGGGCGGTTCTCTTACGAGAGCAGCGGGATGGGGGTCCAAACCACGCAGTAGGGGAAGCGCCTGTGTCTCCGGTCTCTTTTGATGAAGTCTCCACGGTAAGTCACCATAATGTCGCCCTCGTCCAGGTCCAGCTCCGCCATCACTGGGGCTGCTAGTGCAGGCTCACGATCACAAATACTATTGCGTAACGGTGAGTGTGAATAAACCGCATTAACAATAAACAGTATCGTTACTCTCAGGAAACAAGGTATTATTTGAGTGAGCTCCCCATTTAAGATGGACCACCACATTTTCTTCACCTTTTTGTTTGTTGTTTTTCTTCTAAATATAGCATGCTTCAAAAAAGACTGGAAATTATCTGAACTTATGTCATTGAATACTTTTAGATCCAGATTGAGGATGTCTCAAGTGCTCTCAATGAAATGCAACTTTTTATAATCCGTAATTTTATTAAATTGTATGTGACTGTTTTTATAATCTGTAATTGTATGTAACGTTTGTCCAGGACTCCCTTAAAAAAGAGGTTCTTAATCTCAATGGGACTTTCCTGGTTAAATAAAAAATATAATTTGTATTTTTTATTTCAGTGATTCTTTGGCATACCACTAGAGGGAGCCCAGTGGTGCACGTTATTATTATAGATCCATGTGCACGTAACACACTTTGAGAATCACTGCTCTACCTGCTGCACTGTGTCCAGGGGACAGCCCAGGACAGAGCTGGACCTCCCGATGACCTTGTCTAGCTTCCTTCTTTCCCTTTCTGCGATGCTGCTGCTCCAGAAGATGACACTGTGCAAGATGTTTGATGCCATAGAAGGTCTTCAGGAGTGACCCTGCACTCCAGAAGACCTGAGCCTCCTCAGTAGGTTGCCGGCTCTAGCCCTTCTTGAAGAGGTTCTCTGTATTACGTGTCCAGAGAGCCAAATCACACAAACCAGGCATCCGTGTTAAATATATTTTTCTTTGTTTATAACAGAGACTATGACATGAGATCTGAAAGAAAGGGGAATTTACAAAGTAAACAGGAAGCCTAGTGTTGCATCTGTAAACACAGTCGGTACAAAGTGATGGACGGTGGATCCACACAAGCTTCAAATGCATTACATCATTATCTGTGTCTCAAACAAACTCATGCTGCTTTTCATTTTCTTAAATTAATTCATACAGTTAATACAAATGCCAGCAGTAAAATAATTATCACAAACACTTTTTCTAAAGCCCAAATAATAATGAAACAAAGGAAATATTCATCCTTGACAATAAAATGACCTTTGGTAGAAAAAAAAAATGCTCTCAACGAGGTTTAACTATGGTGCACTACCCAATTGTCCTGTGGAGGCGCGGTTTCCAAATGTTCCTAAATGTTCTGTCGTGTAACTTCACTAGGCTACTGTCACTCCCGTATTTGTCCCGGAAACCGGATTCGTCCGGAAGTTCAGTTTGCGCATGTCAAAAAGTGTAATAAGTACTTAAGTGATGACTGGTTAAGTATAGGTAGTTTGTTATATTTACTTCCGCTTCCGTCCAGATTCCGTGACGTAATCTACTGCTGCGTATGATCATTGGATCAAACTGAACTTCCGGACAAATCCGGTTTCCGGGACGAATGCAGGAGTGACAGGCTACTACTAGTCATAGTAGCCTGTAGTAGAGGAGTCATATCTGCAGAGGAGAGCTCTGCTCTCCTCTGCGCATTTAGGCAAAATAAATAAAATATTTTGCTGAAATTTTGATAGCAAATAGATTATGTTTAGATGCCATTTTTGAGATACAGATAACACACATTCCCAAACCAGTAACTTTCAACCTTTTTACAAATAACAGCCACTTTATTATACTATATTGTTTTTTATAAAGATAACTTTAGAAAGGAGAGCACAACACAAACATTGATGGTAAAAGCTTCACTCAAACACAACTCCATGGCTGTATTGTAACTTGTGTGACTTGGTTTATTGCTGTGTAAATTATCGTTATATTTGGCTTTAGTGTTTGCACTGAATATGTTTAATGTTGATTTGTTCTGACAACTGCCTGTGATGCTCATTGAAAAATAAAGGGCACACCAGGATTTTTGCGCACTGGGAATGAGGCTTCAGCTTTATCCACTTGTGTTTTACAGACCTTTTACTCAGAAAGGATATTTAGGACTTCACAAGTACGCGACCTAAAGTAAGATATCAACAGTGAGTTTTATACTATTGTGAGGAACATTCAAAGCAAGCAATATAATCTCCATGGTAATAAGCTCATAATGGATCTTGTCAGAACAGTTAACATTTTGAGACTTTCACATTTTTGTGATGAGAAATGGTCATATGAATGGACACATATGGGCTTGCTCTGTCACTTTGTCAAACTTGATCCACTTAAATGGCTGAATGACCCACACAATCGGTCAAACTGCGAATGCCGCCTTAGGAGCATCTCATGAACAAACTAAAAAAGTATTTTAGCTTGTGTGAGGGGCTTTCTCCACACACTGTGCACCAGGAGCATGAGGACGCAAGTCTTTCCGTGTTTTTAGAGAGTTACTCCCCCTCTACATCGCAAACACAATTCGCTCCAATGCATAGAAATGTCGCACCCTTTTGATCCTTTTTCTCAAATAAAAACAATGCATGGGGGCGTGGCTTGGTTTAGCTGGGCCGGCACTGCACTTGTCCGTCGGAGCTGCTTTCATCGTCCGAACCCTCTGAGCCCACGCCCCTTAGTCCTGTGATTCGGTAGCCCATGTGGAGCAGCATCACCTCCAGCGGGTCGGCGTTCATGCGCCGCTGGTTGGCCTGGGCTGCGCTCTCCATGTCCTCCACAATCCGCACATTCTCGCACTCCATCTGTGGGAAAACAGATGGGAAAGATGCATGAGTGAAGTACGTTACGTCTATCACAGTATGGAAATCACAGGGGTGTCCAAACTGTTTTGTATGAGGGCCACATTAGTTACTATACTTGTTCAGGGGCCAACAACATGGATAGTGTCTTACTTATTTTGACTAGATTTGGCCTGCTTTAGGTGCTTTAAAATGGGACAAGATATATCATATTGATTCAGGCTACAGTTTAATACCATATATGGGATTTTGTGATACAATCAAAAACAAATGTCAGTGTATACAAATAAAGTCAACGGTTGGATTCCCAAGTTACTGGGCTTTACATCGAGCAAGACTATATTGGTGGAGCTGATGTTGGCGACACAGGCAAAGTGCCTCAATGGCTACTTTGTGTAAGCAAAAAAAAATGACAGCAGCATTTGGATCCCTCGTCCATTAGTTTGGGCATGCCTGGTCAAGGTGTTGGATCGCCCAAAACAGGAATTCTCCACCGATTTGGACCACTCATTACTCTACATTCAAACTTTTGCTCAGTCCTTTTAAAACATGCAAACAGCAAAATGCAATGAACAAGTGACTGAGTGAGGGTGGCTATTTTTCCCTTTTCTTTCTAAAAAAGCTGATCTCAAGATGGGAACATGTTTGTGTCAGAAGTTCTTAATATTAATAGTCTGTTTTTGATGAGGAACTATGTTGGAACAGAGTTAAAAGTCTCAAAAACATGTTATTGCAAACTGGAGGCTTAAGTGGTGACAAAGCCAACACTTGGGATCTGTTCAAGTCGATACTATCCTGGATGGAGCAGTAAACTACTACCTTCAAGCCTGGACACTGATGCATTGTAGGCTGCGGCCTCAGTCTTACCTCAGGTCTGGGAGTCCAGAGCCGGACCACAGGGTCGATGCCGCTGGTTGCCAGGAAACAGTAACTGGGATGTGGCTGTAAACAGTTGACGATGGACTCGTCTCCCTGCAGGATCCTCACCAGGTTTGTGGTCTCCTTCTCCCAGATGAAGAAGGAGCCGTCATCTGAGCCACTCACAATGTACTGGCCTTTACTGTGGGACAAATGTATATGCTGACAATATCATTTCAGATCTTGACAATGCAATAAGTTAGTTTGTGTAGCATCTTGGAGTTGCTTGCCATGTGCACACTTCTCCTCTCTAAGCTCTGCATGATGTTTACAAAAAACCATCAAAGTGGAATGATCCACTCCAGACTTTATTTTGAGAAAGAGGTGGAAAACATACAAGCGATTAGCGGCAATGCTTTACGCAGAAGTAAAACAGTATTTGAAAACAACTACTTATGTGCTACTTCTGGATCCAGGACTAAACCAGGACTATAGGCTTTTAAAATAGCTTGAATAAGAACTCTAAGTTAAATTGCAGAAATAGATATTCAATGTGAAACTAATATGTTATATAAACTCATTACATGCAAAGTGACATACAATATCTCATGTCTGTGTTGGTTATAATCTTGATGATCCTGTTTTACAGTCCATTTTCCAAGATATTTTATTCTGGGGTTTTACTGTGAGCCAATTCTAAACATTATAATAAATACAGGCTGAATATACTCATCTTTACCAGTAACGAGTCCGCAATTATTAGTTTCACATTGTAAGTAGAATTGCAGAAGTAAATTAACTTTGAACAATATTCTAATTTTATGAGTTTCAACTCTATATCAAGGTAAAAGGCTGTGTGCCCTTTGCTGTATATTTTTCAATATTTTTGCCCATTAAATGCTATACATTTTCAAAACTCTGGGGCGAAAGATGACCACTATATGAAGCAGAAAAAAGCACAATCTGAGCTCTATGACCAAAGCCCTGCCCTCAACAACAAGCCCAGCAGTAGATGCAGGCTACTCTGCTGCCCTCTGCTGTCGTCTGCCTGAAGTGAAGCCCTCTCACCTTCCAAAGAAGTTGGCCTCCTTGATGTCTGTGGTGGTGTTGCAATGCCCGCAGTATCGGTGCTTGTAGTCCAGACTGCACTCTCGGAGCAGCCGCTCGTCGTCCGGGATAGACTCCTTTCGGCTGAAGGAGTGAAATCGGACAGAACTGTTTGCCTTTTTGTCTTCTGCGGATCGGAAAGGAAAAGTTCAAGAAACAGGTAATATTTGCGCGTGCTTATCAAAGGCATAGATCAGAGCTATTCAAACAAATTTTCCTTGGATGGCTGGATTTTTGCCCACATTAGCACAGTTCTGTTTCACAATATCCCACATAGTTGTCTGAATAATGTTTGTTAGCCTGTAACTCAGGTTTTAGAATGTGTAATAATGAGACACAAGCTATTAGACAGAAGGGGCGGAGTTACAGAAGTTGTCAGAGGGCCAGAAGCAAGCCCCGGCGATCCAAGATGGCATCCTATTCAAATCAATGGCTTGTGCTCAGTGGCGCATGTGCCACTCATGGGGACCGGAAGATTAGCAGAACTCGGCCATATTTGGGCATCATCTTGTCCTCCCGAACGAGCTCCCATGATGCGTTGCGCCAAATACGTGTGTATGGCTCTCATGCTTGTGCACAGAGGGGCTCACCCACACTCTGACCAATCTGAGCTGCTGATCAGAGCGGAGCTTGAGCGGGAGTTAGAGCGAGAGCAAAACGAGCAGAGTTTGTGGCACTAAAGCGTGGATTTAAAGAAAACCGAGGATTTAACAAGAAAAAAAGGTCAGGATGACTAGGAAAATTAGCTTGAGCTGTTTTAGTTTATATTGAGTTCTATGGGGACAATTTCTGGGTAGCCCATGTGAATTTAGTCTCGTTTAGTATGCAGTACCGCGAGAATCCCCCGAGCACATGGGTCCTTCAGCTCCAAGCTAGTAATACCCTATCCAGATATTATAATAGATCCATGGCCAGAAGTTACATGATATTAGCATAGATAGTAAGTAAGTAAGTCATCTTTATTTATATACCGCCTTTCACAGACCAGAGTCACAAAGCGGTTTACAATTGTTATTTTTGGGCACTTGTCCTCTCACTCCACACAGAGATGGGAGCAGGGTATAACTAGATAAAACTAAAAACAACTCTGGATCTGTTTATGATGATGAACAATGTTGTAACATGGTTAAAAGCTCAAAAAGGTCGATTTGCATAATATGTCTCCTTCAAAGACTAGTATTTTTGCCACCTCTGAAAAAGATAAACAATTGAATTGCCCGAGTGTATCACAACTATTGTCACCTGATTCATTTTTAGCAAACAAAGCGGCTTTGATGTCCTTATCAAGGGAGTCACATGCGCTGCTGTGGGCCTGCTCCGGGAACCTCCCCTTAAAGTCGTCGAGGCACTCCAGGGCCTCTGACACGTACTTGAGTTCAAAGAGGCACCGTGCCATCCTGAAGTGGGCCTTGAGGTGGGCTGGGTTCAGGGTCAGGGCCTTCAGGCAGTCTCTGAGTGCGTCATAATGATCCCCATCCCTTTAACACAACGTACAGGCAAGTTTATTTGTATAGCACAATTCATACGCAGTACTTCACAAAACCAAGAGCGTCAAATCAATAAAATATCATAACGTAAAAGAGACAATTATTTAAGACTTAAATACTAACACTATAAGCTGTTCAACATTTCAAAAGAACAGTTCAGAGAAAAATCACTCTCATGAAATCGCAGAGACTCTAGAAGACTCTCAACTCTGTTCTCATGGAAAAGCAGAGTCTTAACCCATTGAGGCCGGGAACGCATTCCCGTGTTTCTACCTTTCAAGCCGGTGTAACGCCGAGATACACTGCCTTGAAGAGATGCACTGCCTCAGCTGTTTATGATGTAATGCAAACCTGCGCATGCGCGTCTCACGGCAGCCGAAGCATACCAAGATGGCGGACCGTGAATTTAAAATACGAACGAATTAAGACACGAATGTCACTTTTAATGCAATTTGAGGCGAGATGTTGATGGTTCCGTTTTGTCACATGTGGGTTTTAAGAGTCAAAGTTTCGTGCAAAGTTTAGTTTAAGCAGTCAACTGCTCCTGTGAAACCACAAAGCTAATGTTTTCATAGCAGCCTCCGCGGCTGCTGACGTAGGCTGATGACGCGTCCTGTGGCAACTCTACAGCTTACAACTGGTCTGATAATGGAAATAATAAATTTAATTTAATGCATGTATCGTACTGTATTCAATATGATTAACAATAGTGTGTTCAAACGAAATATTTAATTAAATCGATTCTTTTCCCCATTTTCCATTATCAACACGACAGACCAGTTGTAAGCTGTAGAGTTGCCACAGGACGCGTCATTAGCCTACGTCAGCAGCCGCGGAGGCTGCTATGAAAACATTAGCTTTGTGGTTTCACAGGAGCAGTTGACTGCTTAAACTAAACTTGGCACGAAACTTTGATTCTTAAAACCCACATGTGACAAAACGGAACCACCAACATCTCGCCTCAAATTGCATTAAAAGTGACATTTGTGTCTTAATTCGTTCGTATTTTAACTTTAAAGACATTCACGGTCCGCCATCTTGGTATGCTTCGGCTGCCGTGAGACGCGCATGCGCAGGTTTGCATTACATCATAAACAGCTGAGGCAGTGCATCTCTTCAAGGCAGTGTATCTCGGCGTTACACCTGTTTGTTTTGGTCCTTTCTGCTGGCGTCAGAGCCTGCGCAATTTGATGACATGATGACCTATCGCAATATGCTGGTATAACAAAAATCTCTACCGTGGGCCAAAGCCCTACTGCGGACTGTTTGCGTTACGTACTTGAACGGGATTAACATCCTCCGTTCTGACCTCGGGAGCAAATGTGGCCACTTTGACATAGCTCAGCGAACGCGCAGCTGTAACGTGGTCATGTACCGAAGACCATAGACGCTTGGACAGAATCATACACACGCGATCAGAATCCCCAGCTTGTTGCACATGCAGGTCTTGCCCGTCTCTCCCCCATGTCTCTTCCCCGTCTCCCCCCAAGTCTCCTCACGAAGCGCAGCCAAAACTCACTGAATTAAAGCTCAGCTACCTACATTTTTGCTTGAATTGACAATGCATGTTATTTTTGCACAAAAATAAAATGTTGTGAACAAATCAAACAGAACAAACCAAAACAGTTGTGTTTTTTTCATTTGCTTACTTAAGAAAGAGCCCTGTGAGTTATTATTTGACTTTTTGGGCAGAGAGTGGATTTTTTGTATATTTTTTTCCACATAGTTACTGCCACTTTATTGCCAAACTCTTTGTGACTTATTGTATAGAGAAACATGTGTTAGTCTCACATTTTTTTGCCTTTTTTGATACATTTCCTGTGTGGTAGTTGTATATTTTTTGTTTTATTCTACTGAAGAGTTATAATAATACACTGCATTATTTTTGACAGCCACGAGTCTCAGCTCAATTTTTTTTAAATTATGTTTCTATTTGCTACAGAGGCAGAGATATCAATCATTCTGTAGAAGTTGAATTTTGAAGGAAAACTTCAGGTTTTTGAGGGTGGTTCTAAAGTCGCCATACTGTAGGTTTTACAGGTGTGTTTTACTAGGTGTGTCAGGCCTTTATGGGTTAATTCTCTGAGGCTATGGAAACTCTGAGAGTAGAGAAAAAGCGACCGGAGGACTGTCAACACATCTCTGCTGTCAGGAAGACGCAGTGACCGTAGAGGACTATTGCCAGTATTTGTATAGAGCCGTTTCCACTACTCTCTACTGCAATGGAAAGGCTGTGACGGTAGGACTCTCACCACTTCCGCTTCATGTAGGCCGCAGCCCGGTTCCCGTAGAGCATGGCGTTGTAGTGGGCTTGGTGGATACCGAGACTGTACAGCTGAATGGCCTGTGTCCACTGCTGTCGCGCAAACGCATCATTTGCTTGTTGCTTTATTTTTCTCCAGATGAGGTGGGACGGGTCTGAAGCACTGCTGGAAAATTGACTGAAAACCACAGATATGTAATCGTACATTCTGCGACTCATAATACAGAGAATATGATTGATGATGCTTGGACATACTCTAGTGCTTTTAGCTTCCTGTAATTAGAAGAAACCATGTATAAATGTCGCCCCCTGACTATCTAAATATTTTTAGACAGAACATACAGTGGGGCAAAAAAGTATTTAGTCAGCCACCGATTGTGCAAGTTCTCCCACTTAAAATAATGACAGAGGTCTGTAATTTTCATCATAGGTACACTTCAACTGTGAGAGACAGAATGTGACAAAAAAATCCAGGAATTCACATTGTAGGATTTTTAAAGAATTAGTAAATTATGGTGGAAAATACGTATTTGGTCAATAACAAAAAATTCAAGTCAATACTTTGTAATCTAACCTTTGTTGGCAATAACAGAGGTCAAACGATTACTATAGGTCTTTACCAGGTTTGCACACACAGTAGCTGGTATTTTGGCCCATTCCTCCATGCAGATCTTCTCAAGAGCAGTGATGTTTTGGGGCTGTCGCCGAGCAACACAGACTTTCAACTCCCTCCACAGATTTTCAAGGGGTTGAGGTCTGGAGACTGGCTAGGCCACTCCAGGACTTTCAAATGCTTCTTACGGAGCCACTCCTTCGTTGCCCGGGCGGTGTGTTTGGGATCATTGTCATGCTGGAAGACCCAGCCACGTTTCATCTTCAAAGCTCTCACTGATGGAAGGAGGTTTTGGCTCAAAATCTCACGATACATGGCCCCATTCATTCTTTCCTTAACAAGGATCAGTCGTCCTGTCCCCTTAGCAGAAAAACAGCCCCAAAGCATGACGTTTCCACCCCCATGCTTCACAGTAGGTATGGTGTTCTTGGGATGCAACTCAGTATTCTTCTTCCTCAAAACATGTATCATCCATGTGCTCTCTGGCAAACTTCAGAGGGCCTGGACATGCACTGGCTTCAGCAGGGGGACATGTCTGGCACTGCAGGATTTGATTCCCTGTCGTCGTAGTGTGTTACTGATGGTAACCTTTGTTACTTTGAAAAAAAAATCCAGGAATTCACTTTGTAGGATTTTTAAAGAATTTATTTGTTAATTATGGTGGAAAATAAGTATTTGGTCACTTCAAACAAGGAAGATCTCTGGCTCTCAAAGATCTGTAACTTCTTCTTTAAAGAAGCTCTTCTGTCCTCCACTCGTTCATCTGCATACCTGTAGCCTCAAACTATTTGAACTCGAATTGTATCTGCATAAAAGACACCTGTCCACAGCTGGGGCTCAATCTCACAGTCAGACTCCAAACTCACTATGGCCAAGACCAACGTCGACAGGGAATCAAAGAGCTGACGTGTCCCCCTGCTGAAGCCAGTGCATGTCCAGGCCCGTCTGAAGTTTGCCAGAGGCACATGGATGATACAGCAGAGGATTGGGAGAATGTCATGTGGTCAGATGAAACACAAAGTAGAACTGTTTGGTATAAACTCAAACTCGTCGTGTTTGGATACTGAGTTGCATCCCAAGAACACCATACCTACTGAGAGAGCATGGGGGTGGAAACGTCATGCTTTGGGGGCTGTTTTTCTGCTAAGGGGACAGGTCCGACTGATCCGTGTTAAAGGAAAGAATGAATGGGGCCATGTCTCGTGAGAATTTGTTGAGCCAAAACCTCCTTCCATCAGTGAAAGCTTTGAAGATGAAACGTGGCTGGGTCTTCCCGGCATGACAATGAGATCCCAAACACACCACCCGGGGCAACAGTCAGGAGGAGTGGCTCCGTAAGAACGCATTTGAAAGTCCTGGAGTGGCCTACGCCAGTCTCCAGACATCAAGCCCATTGAAAATTCTGTGGAGGGCGTTGAAAGTCCGTGGATCACTGCTCTCGAGAGATATGCATTGGAGGAATGCGCCAAAATTACCAGCTGCTAATGTGTGTGCAAACCTTGCAACGACCCTATAGTAATTGTTTGAACCTCTGTTAATACCAACAAAGGTGTATACTACAAAGTATCTCGAAGTTGAAGTTTGTCGTGTGATTTACCCAAATACTTATGTTTCCTCCATAAGTTGTAGCAAAATAATATTGTCTTTAAAAAAATCCTACCACTGTGACATTTCCTGGATTTTTCATTACATTCTGTCTCTCACAGTTGAAGTGAACCTATGATGAAAATTACAGCCTCTGATCATTATTTTACTAGTGGGAGAGACTGTGACACAGTTGGTGGGCTGACTAACAATACATTTGTTGCACCCACTGTTATGTGTTCTCTGAAAATTGCCAGAAAACCAGGACCTTTCCCCACAGAGGCGAAGTTCCGGCTGTTATGTAGCTAACTAACAAAGACGACAAACAAACCTGTGAAAACATGCCAACAACCTGGCAGAGTGTAACCTGTTTATACTGAAATAACAGTTTGTCTGAAATAATATGACAACCTTAACCGGATTTTTTTTATTTTTACCACTCATTTGCTTCTGGCAAAAACTATTGGAATCATGGAAAGAATAATAGTTTTCATGATAACTGTACTGTTACAGTTGGCCGTCTGTAAACTTCAGTAGTGCATTGTTAAATCAGTTTTACCCAAGCATGAATCCTACTTTCAGTTCAGTGTAGACATGGCTTGTTGGAAGGTGATCCCATTGTAGAACATTAGTCGTTCTGCCATTCTGTACATTGTAGAAAAGTTAGAAAAATAATAAACATTAGAAAAACTGTAGATGACGACTCACTACTGGTGATGACTGTGGCTTAATTTTGAAGGGAGAAAAGTGTACGGCTGTTGTTTAATGTTGAAGATCGAACAGGTAGACTGAGAGACACTCAGAGTCTCATTACACATAATGAAGGTTTATACCAGTGCGGCTCGTGAGAATTTCCAATTGCTAACTGCCCCCATGGAGTATCTGTTACAGTTATGATCATGCTCTGCATAGTAACTAACAGCTGGATCAAATCATATTATCAATTAGGTGACAGCGTAGCAACTTATAGCACCAGCTATTTTCTCAAATGAATTTTAACATTTATTTGGACTATAGACAAGATACCTTTGAGGAAATGGGAGGAGAGAACAAAAAGAAGAACAGCTAAAAGAACAACACAAGGAGTTTAACATTGGAGGACTGAATAGAATTGAGACGATTGAGAAGCGGAAGGCACACCGCAAAAAAAAAAAAAAAAAGAACCTGTCGCTATTTTAAGATTGTTAATTGACATAACAAAACCTTGAGGAATGGCAGTTGCCAATTGAACTGCTAGACCATTTGGTCTGTGTCAATGGTCAAAGTTGTGTCGAATTGAACTTGTTCGATAAAAGTAGTTCCGTTTTAGTCTTTACAATTGTTGCTAAGGCGAAGACTTCTTAAATAATCCTCCTAATATTTAAATAGGCCCACCGCGGACTTTGTGATCAAGGGTGAAACATATGAGTTATTTTATATGAATACTTGGGCCAATATACAGCGCTTGACACTTGCAATGCTCCGAGCGGGGCTGCCCTCTTGAAATACCGCCCATGTAAGTTTCGAGCAGACGGACCGTCTGCCACCAGGTCACGTGACTTGGAAGAAAGACTTGCTTTACGGCTACAGGCGCTGATATACTCATGGAGCTAAGGCTTTTGCTACTCATTTTTCACCTGCTCGACTCCTGGTCATGGCTGAGGCAAGGAAAAATTTTAAACCTTCGGAGGAGGCTAAAAAGAGGAAACGCGAAAGGGATCGTGCTGTAAGCTGCATGTCTGTATGAGCGCTGCTCTTCACCTGGTTCCTGGATGTCATCGACTGCAAAGATGTCATTCCACGCAGCACGAGCTAGACGCAGAACTCCCTCATCCAGGATATAGAAGTCCATGTGTGGTAGATTACTAATGCAGCGGTCTGGAGGCTGACCACAGCAGAGTCTCTCAATATCTGTAGGCATGTCTCTACAGTTTGAACACACACACCAGTGCATGCTGTCTGAATACACACTCAAAAGACACCGGCTGACTGTTTGTTGACTTTTGCGACAGTGCTGAGTTGCTTGTGGCCACTAGGGGCGCTAAACGTGAAAGTTGCAGGTCTAGCGCCCCTAGTGGGCAGAGTTTACGCACAGGTGTGCCTTTTAAGCAGATATTTGGCGCCAGTCTAATAATGAATTTACACACTTAATTACACAAGACCATTGTATATGCGGATTAAACAACCAACGGAGGAGCCTGATTACAACTGTATAATGCACGACTCTCATTATTTACTCCTTACATAATGTATATTAGTATTGAATCCGCAGCACATGATGTTTGAGGATCCCAGTTCTCCGCCCATGTTTACCATGCAGCTCCGTCCGGTCTGGGACTGAACGTTAATTTATTTGTGGCCGCACTAGGAGCCATGTAGCCGGTATTGTTGGTGTCGCGGTAGTTTGCGGGTAAGGTCCTTAGTCCACACAGTTCAAACTTGAGGTCCAAAAATTACTTCAATTGTTAATATACAAATACTGCATATGATTCAACCTGCAACATAATACTGTCCTGCTCCGTTCTGGTATGGGTTTCTTGCCTGATCCCAAAAGGTGTGCACAGCAGCGAGGTGTTATGGACCATGACTTTTCTGTGAGCAAGGACAACTATGAGTTTTCCAGTATCTGAATAAAAACGGAAAGAATCAAAAGCACAAACCTGTAGTTGTGGATCTTTCGTTATGTCCATAGAGGCGCACACACGGCCCGTTTGCTCCAACTGCAAGGAAGTTATTGTCACGAGGATTCACAGCTAAATCATGATGGCTCTCCACGAGATGACCACAGAATCTGTCAGGTCAATGAGCGATTATGCGTGTTTATGCTCTCCCTCCGGTCAGTACGGTCTGCAAACATCAAATCAGTCTTACAGGATCTGTCATAGAACCAGTCTATGATAGCAGAGTGTGGACACATTTAAAAGTTTAGAATGTATGTCATTTTCTAATTTTTTTCAACAGTCCATGTCTAAGACATTGTGATAATTTAAAAAACATAAAAA